AACCGCCAAGAGAAAAAAAAGAAAACACAAAAAAAAAACCCAAAAAAACCCGCCGGCCCGGAGCCCAACAACCCAGCACCAAAAAATTGGGGGGGGGGGGGATAGCTGCAGCTGTGGCCCTGCACACACGGAAGAGGCAGTCCCCGAGTGTGCTCACAGGGTAGGTCTCCTTCCACAAGTGTTGTTGATCCATAGTGGGAGACTGAAGCCCCTGATTCCCCTCCTCCTCAAGCCTTGCCACAGCCAGGGAGCCTCGGAGGAGCTGGCCATGCCTGGGTGCAGAGGAGAGGGGAAGCCCACATTCGCGCAAGCCTGGGGGGCGGCGGTGCTCGGATTGGCCCCCTTTTTGTCGCTCCTTCTGCTCCAGACCTCCTCCTGAGCAGGGAAGGGGCAGGCGCGCCATGAACCTCCCCTCCTCCAGCATGCAGCTGGGGGCCGGCGGGCTGGCTCAGCGGGAGCGTCCAGCCCTTCTCCGGGAGGCGCCCCGGAAGCCCCCAGCCCCTGCCCTGCACTCGGCTCGCAGCTGCCCTTACGCTGCCTGCCACTTACTCTCGCTTCTAGCCGGGGGCCTCCAATGGCCTCCCACGCTTGACCCTGGCCGCGGGCGCCCTGCTCCAGGTGTGGCACAAAGTCCAGCCAGGCCTGCTTGCAGATTTCCCCGTAGGTCTTGGCAAAGTGGTTCTGAGCCCTGGGAATGAATCCTGCCAGGAGACACAGGAGAGCAGGAAAGAGGTGCCGTGGGGCCCCAGGAAAGGAGAAGGCCCTGGGGCCCTGGGGCCCTGGGGCTGCTCGAGGCTCTGATCACTTTCCCGGGCCCGGACACCAGCTAGCTTTTTCTGCTCAATGGCTGAGGTTGCTGCCATGCGCTCTCCCAGCCTATTCCGTCCCCTTTTTCATTCTAGTTTTGTCTAACCTAGTCAGTCCTATAGCTATGGAGTGTAATGGTCCTCTTTGCCCTGTTTCTCTCTCTGCTTCTGAAAATCCTGGGGGTCCACAGAGACCCTCCAGAGGCAGCAAAGGCAGGCCGGGCACAGGCTGGGCTCAGCTTGGAACTGGCAACCAGGTCCTCTGCACTGCACAGTGCCACCACCATGCCACACACGGCTGATGCCCCTCTCATCCCGAGATCAAGGATGAGGAATGGCCTGCTGCCCCTGCGGGGGCGTGGCCCCTGTGTGCAGGGGGGTCACTAAGAGGTGTTCAAAAAATGGAGGGCTGTTCCCACCAGGACGGCCAGTGCAATCTTCCCCCAGGGCCAAGGCAGGTGCCTGCGGTGTCCTGCAGCCCCTCCTCCAGGTCTTTGCTGGTGGTCCGGACCCCCCCTCCAGATGGGAATTCTGGGAGGAAAGTCTGAACCCATCCAGAGGGGGCCAAGTGGGGGGCGGCTGGGTCTAGCCCCCCTCCTGCAAGTG